CCTGGGTGTGCTTCTTGTCTGGACTACCTCACAAGGCTGCCAGTATGTTATGAGGGTAATTATAATAGTTTACCTTACACGTATGAGTTATAGTGCAGTAACAAAGAAAACAAAAACTTTTGGAAGGCCCCTTAGCATAAAAGGTTACAGCCTCCCAATCAGTCACACTTCAGTCCTGCCTTGCCCATTCAGTGGCTGAGCCCCAAACAAGGACCACAGCTCCCACAATCAACAGGGATGCTTTGTGTGGGAACAATGACCTGCAGGTCACTGCATATAATATGCTTCTCCCCCCCCCCATTTTTTTTCATTCTTCAAGGCAGTTTAAATTCTGTGGGAGGGAGGGAAGTGAGAGGAAGGAAGGAAGGAAGGAAGGAAGGAAGGAAGGAAGGAAGGAAGGAAGGAAGGAAGGAAGGAAGGAAGGAAGGAAGGAAGGAAGGAAGGAAGGAAGGAAGGAAGGAAGGAAGGAAGGAAGGAAGGAAGGAAGGAAGGAAGGAAGGAAGGAAGGAAGGAAGGAAGGAAGGAAGGAAGGAAGGAAGGAAGGAAGGAAGGAAGGAAGGAAGGAAGGAAGGAAGGAAGGAAGGAAGGAAGGAAGGAAGGAAGTCCAGTGAATATGTTATTTATAGTACAGAATGTGTTTATCTATATGACCTAATATAGTCTAGTGGAAGAATTAAGAATTATGCAGACATGAAAGGCTTGTTCCCAATCCTTGGGAATCTGATTCAGCTGTGCCTCTGGATTTTTCTCTTCCTTTCAAGTATAACCTTCTTCCATAAGCTTCAAAAACTGAAGGTGTTTGTCCTCAGTACTAAGGGCTGAGAGTCTTCCGGCAGCAGGCTTCTGCTGAACGCACCATACTTACTCCTGCAGTCACAGCTGCAGAAACGGGAGCCCTTCTGCATGCTTCCTTTCTCCCTTCGTTCTTCTTCTCCCTCAAAGGTTTTGCTGGGTCCTGCCTGCCTCGTTTCAGTACCATGCCTTTTATTTATTGCAACATCGACGAAGTGTGCTACTATGCCAGCCGCAACGATAAATCGTATTGGCTTTCCACCACCGCTCCTATACCCATGATGCCCGTCAGCAGCTATCAGATTGCCCAGTACATCAGTCGCTGCTCGGTGTGCGAAGCGCCTTCCCAAGCTGTCGCTGTCCACAGCCAGGACATCACCATCCCGCAATGCCCCGAAGGCTGGCGCAGTCTCTGGATTGGGTACTCCTTCCTCATGGTACGAAATCACAGGAGGGACTGCCATATGTGGGGATGCACATCCTTTCAGCGCAGATACACAGAGCGCATGGGCTTTCTAGCTGAGCAATCCTCAGCCCACCAGTGGCTCTTCTCAGTGGCCATTGGATGGCCGCTGGAGCCCCTTCCTCCTCCTATCACCAAAATTGGATTGCATTTTAGTAGCTGCAATTTGGGGGTAGAGTAATTATGTTCAGCCTTTAAAAAAGAGGTCTTGGGGTTCATGGGGTTCTCCATTTTTTTAATGTTTCCTAGGCTTCGGATTGGAAGATATGGTGGCACCCAAAGCAGCTTTTAATTGCAAGGGGGAAAAAATAGCAATTTTTGGATGAATTGTACACAAGTGTCTCTTGTACACAAGTCTGCTGTCATCTGGGGCACCAATCCTGACTTATCACACTTCAGAAACTGATCGTTTGTAGGGCAGGGTTGACTCAGATGTAGGCATCCGGGTTTCTGTGGTATAATTGACACGGTTCTTCCTGTCAGCCTCCTAAGCATCTGTTTCTTGGTGCGGCTTTGTTTCAGCACACGGCGGCCGAAGGGGGCGGCCAGTCCCTTGTCTCCCCTGGATCTTGTCTGGAGGACTTCCGTGCCACTCCTTTCATCGAATGCAATGGTGCCCGAGGAACGTGCCACTACTTTTCCAACAAGTACAGCTTTTGGCTGACTACGGTGGAGCCGACCCATCAGTTTGCTGACTTTCCCATCTCAGAAACGCTGAAAGCGGGACAGCTCCGGACACGGGTGGGACGGTGCCAAGTCTGCATGAAAAATTTGTAGCAAAGGCCAGAACGTTTGTTCCTTGTTTCTTTAGGATCAAGAAATTAGCATTTGTGCCCAGCTGGGGAATTGACATCTCCCCAAATCTCCCCAGAGATTTTTGTCTATATCAAAATACGGTGCTATCTCTTTCCCGTTTTTTATCTTCCTGGCTACCTCAGAAAGTCTTACTCTGCCTTCCCAACTGCCACATTGTCTTGGCTTTGATGTACTCAACTGATTTTCGCAAGATATGTTGATCTTGAACAAAGGTCTCTTTTCAAGCCTTTGATCGTAAGGTCTTCCCATGTTAAGGATTTAAGATACGTCAGGAATTTCACAAATGTTTTTGCCTGCATGTACACACCTCTTCTAATTATGTTACTCATTTATATTCTGCCTATGTTAACTGCTTATTTTAGGCCTAAAAAAATAACATATTTGGCTGCCTAGAGGTGGTTCTGTTCCTCTGTTACAAGTGGCCTGATGGGTTCTGAAAGTTCAGGTTCGTGGAGCAGGTGACTATATTGATCAAAGCCTGCCTGGCACACCATTAAACAGTAAAGTGACGATAAAATGAAATAAATAAGCCGCTTAGGAAAAGAAAATATTGGGATTTTTCATCTGTAACATGAGGAGCAGGCCTACAAGTGTTACAAGAATGATAATTTGACATAGCATCAACTTGAAGAATTTCATTGCACCTTTTGACATAGCATCAACTTGAAGAATTTTTATGGTGACGATGCAGTTTTATTTTGTCTGCTTGATTATCCAGGAATATTAATCTAGCAGTGTTGCTACCCTGTGTAATGTTTTCATAGGAATGTTTCAGAACGATCTTTCAGCTTGTTAATGTGCCACAGTAGTGTCATCTTGTTGCATCCAGTGTGCAATTTACAGGCCCCCCTGAACATGACACATCTTGGCTCAAATGCCAGAATATTGCTTGAGCATTTGTCTGGTGAGACAACTCCTTCCTTTCTCTGCTGGGACATCTGAATGCCTTCTGGGCACATTAATCATTGTTTCATGTTGGATCCAGACTGAGAAACCAACATCAAGTAATGGTTGAAAATTTTAATTTGTTCCACTCTGATAACAATTGTCCCTTGGCTTGGTCACAGCTATGGTTAATTAACCGACAGAAGAATTCTTCAGGTCTGGTGGAGTGAAGAGGAAAGAGAATGTCCATTAGAGGTCCAACACTTAGATGCAGACTTGACCATGGTGAACTAAGGAACAATTGAACCTGTTGGGTGATTTCCCGAAGGAAATTATGTTTAAAAACTACTAAGTAGAAAAAGCTGGTGTGCATCGCCTGCCAATCTGTGTAACAATTCTGCTTGCTAAGAATGCTGAAAATAGCAAAGACTTAGTTTGTGTCATCACTTATCCTGGTATTCTAGCCAAGAGAATATAGATTAGTAAAGTAGTTATGTTTTCTAGTTTCTGTCACAACTTAATTCTACAATGCTTTGATTCTTTGTTCACAACTGCATGGCTGAGTCTTGATCTACTATCTGTGTCCTGCTCAGTGCCGTCTGCCCCGTTTAACTTTTTGACTGCCTTGGTTCTAGTGTATCATTTGTTTTGCCCTGTTTTCTACAAGCTGTGTTTACAGCCTCAGCCCATGTACATTTCCATCTGGAAGATGGGTAAAAGCTATCAACTTTAAGAATATCTTCTTAATTTCTTAATAATATACTAATATTCATGTGTTATACAAATGCTCTTGGACTTCATACAACCATGATAACATTGATCCGTAAATAGTCCAATATTACATATGGTGGCAGAGGACTTTGAAATTTATAGAACAGCCATTACTACTCCATCACTTGTAATGGGTGTACAAGCTGGAGCAAGTCACTAGTCCTTGACGAAAATAGTTTCAAACGCCATCACTTCTTCTGTCTCTGTGCTGTAATTGTACATAAAATGAGAAAAGTCACCTGTTGATTATTCAGTTGCACATCGCTAGATTTCAGTTCCACAATATTTTTGCCTTAATTTTTTGAGGTAGCCTTGGAATTGCTGGTGCTTAAAACAATTAATATACTACTAAATAGGTTAGTTTTCTGTTAATGTAACACTGAGTAAAAGTTGGATGAACTGACTGTTCTGCCAATACTATGGATTTCTTGATTTTACTTTTACTGGTCTTGCATTCTGTAATGCACTGCTGAAAGTATCTTCAGAGCACTGACTATATTTTGACTCTTATTTTTTTTTCTAAAAAGAGGTAAAACACAGCATGTCCGTTTTGTGAGATATATTCCATTCCCCCCTTATAATATGCTTAGTAAACCCCTCCAGTCACATACTCAAGTTGTAAAGTGAATTTATATTAAACCTGTGGGATCACAGAATTGTAGAGTTGGAAGGGACCACGAGGATCATACAGTCTAACTTCTTCAATGGCCAGAAACATCAATTAAACCATCAGCAAGAGTTGGTTGTCCATCCTCTTAAAAACCTCAGTACTTTTAGGTCTTGGTCAAAGGAGAGGGCAATTTTCACAAAGAAGGTGCTTGGGTTTAAATAGAATTCAAAATAAATTTTAGGACGCTTAAAACAGAGATTGTGCTTAAGAGAGGAGCTCAAGTTCTACATAACAACTGTATCAATTAAGCCAACACTGGGGGGGAAATATCAGCAGATGCCTTTGCTGTTTCTTTGTTAGTTTTTAGATTTTTCTTTGGCAGTTGCTCCCAGGTAAAACCCTCTCCCTCTCGGGTTGCATCAAACAGGGGAACAAAAAAGATTCCCATAACCATACTGTATTCCCCTTTTTTTAAAAAAAAGGATCAACTATTTAAAAGCTCATGAATAATGCTTTACTACTGCCATCATCTTCTGCCCTCAATTATATTAGTTCCTCCCAAATATACAGGTGGATGTTGACAATCTTTTTAAGGAATCAGAAGGCTAAGACACCCCATACTGCAAAAGAATTGTGTAATTCTTGGCAGGTTCCACCTTTTGAAAGTAGTATTGAAAGTCCAGTAACTTGGTGTGTCACTTGAGGGATGATGTAGTTATGTGAAATGCTGCTGAGGATTATGGCTGTAGTGGTCAAACCACTGCAGAGCACTAGGGGTGAAGAATAAATACAGATTCCACCAATGAAGCATTTCATTCTGCATATAACAGTGGTACTAGGTAATGCAGTTTTTGAATCTGCCAGCGTGGTGATGGTTAATGTTATTAGCCATCTATGTTGCCCCATGATGTGGAGCGATTATTACCTGTGCATGACCACATCAGGGTAAATAACAATCAGAAAGCTGAGGCCAACCACTTTTATTTTGATAGATACCATTCTCTGGTTCTTAAAAAGTTCCAAGTAACCCAGAAAGATCTAGCACCCAACCTATTCAGTTAAGAAATGAGATCCACAAATAAAGGGCTCTTGCAAGGGGAAACGTGTAAATGTTTAATTTAAAATAAATAAGATACAGTTGAAACAAAAAAAGTGTTTTCTTTTACTCAGAAGCAAGAGGTTTAATAATGATTTGAAGTTAAGGTCAAGGTGAAGGGTCATCATAATTATAAAGAGACTTCCTGTACCTTCCAAGAACATGGGAGGCAGTTTGAGGAGCTGAAGCATTGCCTTCCAGTCCCTGCTTATTAACGTATCTCCTAGAAACAGGAAAAGTTTTGTAAAATTGCACATATTACACATGTCCTTCCATAAAAACACTTTGGGGTTTCGAAGTGCAGTTGCAAGAAATGTTAAAATATTGAACAAAAGCATTGGTTTTTGCCTGAGCAGGTGAATCTCTGAAAAACAAGGCAATGACATTGACTCCTAAAAAAATTGTCCATGTGAAGGAACAAGAGGTGAACATATTCCTCAGCATCATGCTGTCAGCGTGAGCAAAGCTATTGCATTATACTATATGGAGCAATAATTACCATCCAGCTATTGTTGATGCTGGCAAGGCCATTCTCAGCAATACATCAAGCCAGTTTTGCTTTCATGTTCTCCAAGAGTTCATCTTCAGACAAGACTCTTTTCTTGGGGGAAAAACACGTGGGCTGGGGCCAGGATCCATGCCCATCCCAAGAAGTGTTTTTTTGGAACTGTTCTCCTGAGGTCTTGTGCTCTGTTCACATGCAGGCACTTCAGGGTAAGAAAGGCTCTGTGGTCTTATTCCAGTCCTGGGCTGCATGCCAGGTTGCCTTCATACACTCAAGATCTCAAACTCTTCTTCCAATTCAAACAGTTTATCAGTGGAGTCAATGAGCTCTGCGAAAAATAGAGAAATGGGATTTCTTTGTAAAAATGGGCTCACTCTTGCAAAAACTTCCCCATTCAGCCTTGCCAAGCTAGTGCCCCAATGGCTGGGAATTCCAGAAACTGCACTCCAGTGTGGAAAATTGGACTGAGAATGGCTGTTTCAAAGCAAACAAGTGAGGGATACACCAACCCATCAGAGATTGCAGAGACCTCTCCCAGCATAACTTGGCTGTTCATAACAACACACCCACATAGACCTTTCCGCTATGGCATAAATATGCTTAAAAGCTACCAGTGGGTGCACTGTGGACCTCACAGCAATTGATCAATTTTGATGCAGAAGAATAGGGAGGGACTGGACAGTAAAGTCTCAGTTCAAATTTGCTAGTGCTAAAAGGACTTTGGCTTTGATTCCAAAAAAGGTGCTTCGGAGCATGAATGTAGCACCCACCTCCAAGTTTTAAAACTGCCGTATCTCTTCCAAGGATTATACCACGGCTTTAAGGGGTGGCAACCCTGGTGTTTACTGCTTGGGGCCACATGGCTTACGACAGTTATAAACCTTGGGGCTTCATTCACACAATGTGCTAAATTTGGTTAGGGTTCTTTCGGAGTTTGGCGCTTTGCGCAAATGCAGAAAATGAATGAATCCTGATTCCAGGCTGAACATATTGTAATACAGATCACAGCCATATAGATGGTGGAGGAAGTGAAGTAGATCCATAATAAACATCTCTCTACCTGCTCCAGTGGTGGTTACTTCTGGTTTTGTGGGAGGTATGAAAGGTGGCCAGTGTGCTGGATGCTTCTGAACCAGTTCAAACATTCGTAGACTCTGCTTCTTATGTATCTCCTGGGAGGGACAAAATACAATTTCTAAATGTGCATCACAGAAACAAACTGATTAGTCACCCAGCCCTCGTGATTTCAAATTACCACGCTAAATGTTGAAGAACATGGGAGTTCAGATCATTTGGCAAATAACAATGACGTCTATGTTCCTATGCCTTCCTGTCCCCTCCATGTTTAACAGTCTTTAAATTTTGTACGAAAAAATATAATCCAAAATTAGGTATTTATCACTTGAACTACTTTTTGCACCACGTGCCGTAATTGCTCTCAGTTCAAATTTGCTGTGATATTTAATTGTTATTAATACCAAATAAAGGGCATTAAAAGGCAAGGGATGAATGAATTTCCAGGCCAATGAAATCCCACTTGTAGAAAGCGATCGCTGTATTTTTCTATTTGCGCTTTTCTTTTGGGGTCGCTTGTGCAAGATCACAGTTCCACTTAGCACAGCACATGTGTTAAGCACACAAAAGACTGGAAGACTTACAAAGCTCTCTCCAGGAACAGAAACACCAACAAAAATAGAACAATTACAATAAGCTTCACTACAATGGAATAAACAAACATCAAACACGTATCATAGCTGGAGGCATCTCTCTCTTTCAATCATTCCATCCCTCTTGTTAACTGGGATAGACCTACTCTAACACAAGGGCAGGGGGAATTCTGTTAAAAAGAAGGGGGATGTGACTGAGAAAGTTCACTGAGATTCTTGCCAATGACACTCTCTTAAGATGGAACTTGAAAACAGACAGTCCTTCCAGATTTTTGTGGGCAGAAAACACTGAGAGTAGGCGATCCCAAAGTTATCCAGACCTCAAGCCATGTGGGGCTTTATAGGTGACACCCAGCACCATGAATTGTATCAGGATGTAACTGGCATCCACTGCAGCTTTCAAAGCAGAGGTATTACATAGGAATAGCTAGTAACACCCAGCGTGACTTGGGCTGCTGCATTCTGGACCAGCTGAAGTTTCCCAGTGGTCTTCAAAGGCAGCTCTGTGTAGGTGCATAGTCCAAATAACTAAGGCATGAGCAGCTGTGAGTCAGTCCTCCCAATCCAGGTAAGGATGTAGCTGGCCCATAAGATGTAAGTGCAAAGGCCTTCCTAGCCACATCCATCACGTGTTCCTTAAGGAGAAGCTGAGAGTCTTGGGACTCCCAGATTACGGAGTCAGTTCCACGCAAGGTAGTGCAGCCCCATCTGCGACCAAGGTTGATATACTTCTGATATCAGAGGAGCTTTGTAATCACTGCTGGTATCTAAGCTTGTTCTTCCCTATCCAGACCAAAACAACCTCCAGGAACTGGGGCAGGACTTCAACTACATCCCTATTTCGAAGGGGTTGAGATGTTCAATTGAATATTGTCAGCCTATCTACCCTCCATGCTGATGGATGATCTCTCCGAATGGCTTCTTAGAGATGTTAAATAAGGAGGAGCGAAAATGTTGAGACCTGCAACACCATAAAATGGAGGGCTCTAGGACAGGATCCCCTTCCTTGAAATTACCACTGAGTGAAACCTCTGACTTAGGACGGAGAAGGACCACAGAGAAATGATGCTCCCCAATCCTTAACCCTGGAGCCACATCAGCAGACACCAGGGCTAGCAGCTAAAAAGCTGTGCATCTTATGCAGATCTTCTAAGCACCATATTCAAATATGCCCCATATCCAAACATGCCCCAAATAGTAGTTCTGTATAATTTGTATAGTTAGGGTGAGGATACATAAAGTGGCTATGACATGGAGACCATCTTGGCAGGTATCAGTATTCAACAGGCCAGGTGTGGCTTTGTGCAGTGATGTATGCACTGATTAGCTGTGCATGATAAGCTATTTTCCCCAAGCCACTACAACGAATACCCAGATACAAATTATTATTATTACCAATCCTTGTAACAGTAGACCTGTTAAACACAAATGAAGAAATGACTCATTTGTACCTTTATGCATTTCCTAATACTTGCCTTTTGCACAAGGCTGCACCAGTTATCAAAGTCCTTTTCTTCTTTACAAAAGAATCCCTGTAATAATTTGAGAATATTAGAAAGGAAAGACAAGGAGCAAGCCAATGATGGAAACACCTGGTCATATACATTTCTTCAAATTATCTTGGAGAAGTACTAATACTTATTATTAGCAGTCCTTGAAACAGTAAACTTAGGTGCTCGTGCCAATCCCTCACAAGTAATCAGAACAGATTCAAAGTGGTTTCTCATCTCAGTAAGAACTAGGCCAAAACGTACCCTCGAACTGTATTCACATGGCACGCTAAGCTATCACCTGGTGTGTCCCAAACTCTACTTTTACAAATCACAACAGCTAAATGTATATAACACACTGTCAAAACAAGTAGACTATATCATAGTTTACTCTGTATACATGCAGTCAGACTAACACTTGGAACTATGTTAACCATTTATCACAATTCAAACAAGAAACTTCTTTGCAAACGTAATCAGCAGCCTGTTGCCTCTGCTGGATTCCCCGAACTGCCTCCAGAGCACAGGAGGTGATGAAAATTCCATTAATGTAGGAGCAGAGGACTTCAGTCATGGCATCACTCGAGTAGGTGGGACCTGAGTTTTCAGCTCCTTTTGGATGACATTTGGTGACTGGGGAAGTACAAGGAATGAAAGGGATGCCTTAAACATCGCTTTGAAGTGCACAAAAAAAAAGGGGGGGGGGAATCAACCCAATTTGGGAAGAGGGCTTAGGGTTTGTTTGAATTGCAGTTCACACTATAGGTTGTCCTCCACTTAACAACCACAACTGAATCACTGCAGTAGTTAAGTGACTCACACAGTCGTTAAGCGAATTTGGCTTCCCCCACTGACTTCACTTATTGGAAGCCCCCTGGGAAGGTCGCAAATGGCGATCACTTGACCCCGGGTTGTAAATACATGCCGGTTGCCAAGTGCCTCAGTTTTGATCATGGGACAGTGGGGATGCTGCAACGGTTGTAAATGTGAGGACCAGTCGTAAGTCACTTTTTTCAGCACCATCGTAACTTCAAACAGCCATTAAACGAATGGTCGTAAGTCAAGGACTACCTATGTAAGCCTCTACATGTCTTAAATACACCTATTTCCTCCCTCAAAATTCGCACCCAAAGTTAGAAAGGCACCCAAAATTTCATCTCTGCCTATTCCTCTGGCTGTGATTTGTCCACTGTTGTTTTAACATCTGACTAGGGAACTGTATCAATATTCATGAATACAGGCCTGGTGCCTGCTATTAAGAGCACAGAGTGGACTGGTTCACTGTCCTATCATCAAGTTTCTTGGCCAAGATTAGCAGGGGTTCTGCCTCAGTGCAGTGTACAAACTGAAGGCATGTAAGGTGACCGTTTGAGAAGGGGGTTATCATCCAGTCTTCCAAGCCATGTTTTCCTTAATACTTACTAATGCTACAGAGGGATCAAGATTCATTATCTTCATCCGATGTGGGGCTTGCTGGCAGTGGAAGCTATGGTCGTCAACTGTACCATTCTCATCAGAATCTACAAAGACCTGGGTGGTATGAGGGTCCAGGTAGATCAACTCGTTTCCTACAAAGGTAAGCAAGAAAGGGGTTGGTTAGCAAGGAGTGGAACTGAAAACCACACAGTTTTGTATTGCATGTGTGCGTTGATTTTCTTTTATTTGTGAGGTTTACAAAACACCTTTCATTAAATATTAAAACAGTGTTAAATATGGACATCATACAACAATATGTAAAATACTGAATATGTAAAATAAAAACATTATAATGAACCGAGAATTATTAGGTCAAATTGCAGGAAGAGGAAACCCTGGATCTTTCATAGGTAGGTGTTCAGTTTACTGCAGAAAGCATTCCACATTGGATGTCTCTTAAATCCACAGGGAAAATGACATAGTTGCTTCCACAACTAAATAAAGATGATTCCAATGAATTCAACCACCTACAGCCCAAGGAGTCAACAGAGTGACAAAAATAAGGAAAACAGTAGGAAGCAAGAGGATGAGCAACAGAAGAAGCAACCTCATATTGAACCACACCATTGGTCCATCAAGCCCAGCACCATCCACAGCAGGGAAGAGACTTGTGATGGCTGAACTACAACTCCCAGCAACCTAATAACTGGCCACACTGGATGGGCTATTGGGAGTTGCAGTTCAGCAACAAATGATGCCACAAGTTTCCCTATCCTGGGTCTACATTCTCTGAGCTTTTAGTCAGGAGCCTTTGGAACATACTAATGCAGCCATGAAAAAGAATGGCAAGAGATACGAGAAAAAAACTCTGCCTGCTAGAGCTCTGATTTCACTAGGAAACAAAGGAATAGACAATACTGCTGAACTGTGAACAATGCCAAGAATTTACATGGCGTCACAAAAGAACATCAAGATGATGTCCTAAATAGACCTTGGGAGGAATAAATTGAGAAGCAAAAGAAAAGCATTTGAGAAAGAGGCTGCAGATGGGAGGTTACTGTTCATGGCCAAGGAGCAGAAGAGGCTGTTCATTTAAGGCAGGAAATTAAACAACCTGGGGAGATGTAAAAAGGACCCTTAGATACTACATGGAAAGACTAAATTTCACTTTCTGCTTCAGTTAGTGTAATATTTGCACAATCGAATCCAGTGTTGGGGCAACAGCCAATTATTTCTCCCAGTTAAGGTAATAAAAAAGCCCTTGTTCTTTAAAAAAAAAATAAACACAGATTGAGAAATCTTAACAATGACCAGAGGTGAATAGTGTGTACTGTACTTTCCATCTGACCTTTCAGACTGTGACATTGAGTAACACATGCTCTGCAAGATAATACTGAAGACACCCACAAATGAGGGAACAGGAGAATATCAAGGCTGGCTACTGGGAATAGGCTTTTCAAAGTCTCAAAATTACCCTTCCTCCCTTAAGGAAATTAAAAATATACATGGGCCATTCTGCCTGATCTGCAGAGTCCAGCCCAAGGAGGAAGACATTGTGGCTTACAGAAATATTCTACTGACTGTGCTCAAAACTGTGGTATTAGAGAAGTTTAATCAGTTGTCACCCTGGCCCCAGGAGAATCACAAGAACAAGGCTTGAAAACCCTCAGTTCAAACAAACACCCTTCTCTCCCCAACCCTAATGATCTCTCAGGAGGCACTGGGAACCAGCCTCTTTTTTCCCATCTTCCCATTTTCATTTCAAAAATCAGAATCTGAATGTGAGCTTCTGTGATTGCCAAATGCTCTTTACAGAAAGATTAACTTTCAAGGATACAGAGTGACTTTTTTTCACATAATATTAATCCAGTCCTTTCCCCACCACAAAAGGAAGAGAGGGCAGACAAGCTTTTCAGAGGAAAAAGATAAAGTCTTCACTCCTGGTAACTACTTGGAAACATCCTTGTGGTTTTCTTTGGAGATGAATGGAAGTAGTTTGCCATTGCCTTCTTCCAGAATTATTTTTTTACTGCCCAGGCTGGCCTACAGTGCTGGGGTTCTTTGGAAGTCTCCTATTTAAAGGCTGGGATGGGAACATTCTAAGGCTTCACAGCTGGGCTTCCATACAAACGGTGGATTCATTCTTCAAATCAAGGGCTGAACTACCCACCTCCAAGCCAAGCCACAAGCTGAGATGAATTCTGCTAGCTTGAATCTTCCCTAAGGCAAGGCATGAGGCTGGGGAGAATGGACTGGAACCCATCCTTCAATATATGCTCTTTTCTATGATTTCTCCTTCTCTGCTGTTTTCCTTATTCGGCTGCTTCAGCTTTAGAAGAACTCTTCAATAGTACTACTCCGTCACCCTCCAACAACTTAATTTTTCCTTACCCAAAAATCCTATAAAGTAGTAGGCATTGTTTGGTTTTCCTCCTAAAGCTCCTAAAGATTGTGGCATCTTAAAGCATTCCTAAAGATCCAAAGGAGAAAGGAAAAAAAATTATTTATGGCTTACTTTCCCACACATACCCTATTTATGTTTCTTTCCTTCAGCAATGGAACTCAAGGCAGCTTGTATCTAGTTCTCCAGGTCAGACCTGCTTATTTTGAGCTACAGCAGGATGGGCAAGCATTGCCCCCACCTTCCTAAAACCCTCTCTCCCAAAGATGCTCAACCAAAATTCTGGGGCAAATCACAGAATCACAGTGGCATGACTTTTCTGTTTTCCTGAAAATAAGCTTGAAAATAGATGCCTTAAGCTCCCAGATGGCTTCTCACATCTATTTTAGTTGGGAAAACCCCCCTCCCTCCCAACCCTGCCAAAAAGCCAAACATGGAGCTGAAAATTCTAACCTGCCATGACTGCAGAAGTAGAAATAAAATACATTTCCCAGTTGCAGAAAGATCACCAACCTTTGAACTAGACTGTTACCCGTATATGCCTTTAAAATATAAGGAAGGATTGTGCATATTAGAAACGAGCAACACAGGGCTTATGGAGCCTCAGAATTAATTTTTTAAAACCATGTATTTTAAAGATGGCCTGAAATCTGATACAATTTCAGTATTTTCATGAAATGAAACCATGATCTCCAAAGACTTCAGGCGCTTTCATTCTTCTGGTATGAATTCCTGCTCTGGATCATTCACATTATTTCAATGTTTTAATGGCTATACCTACTGTCTGTGTGTGTGTAAAAACAATTTGATCTGTTATGGCTCCAATCATTACTTAAGCCAACCAGCAACTCCACAACTGCTGTCAGACAACTGTACCTTAAAAGCGTCGACATAAACCGGATTGATGTGGTTTATCCCCAGGCGAAGAGGTACAATCAGCAGCAGAGGCTTCCAACTGCAGCAGAGATCTCCTGGGGTCTTGGCTGGGGTGACAGAGCTCCTATATGACAGTGAACTGCAGTGAGACCTGGGGCAACCCTGGGGTGGGACCCGGCACATTTTTTCTGGGGAAAAAGAGGAGAAAAAAATCCCTAATCCTCAATTCTCCATCAATTTGTTAGTGGCCAAAGAATATTCAGCTTGCTTGCAAATATTTTCAGCAAACATCCTCTCTACTCATTTGTGAAGTCAATGGGAAATTCCATATTCACAGGGACTCACCAGTTAGGGCAAAACCTCTTTCTTGCCGAAAAAACCCAAAACAAGGGAAGAAAATTGTAGTGGTTTTCCCTGCAATTAAGTACGTTTGAAGGGCTGTGAGTATCAAACGCATGCGTTTTAAGCCTTGGATAAAAAAGGAGACTCTGAACCACAGGATGAATACTTTATATGCTCTATGTCAGGATCCTTAATTTAAGAAAGGTTAGAAGTCTGCAAAACCTTTCAAGGTTGAAGCATTCTGTTCATGATGCACCCATTCTGATCTCAGAATAGCCATGCCATTCCAATTTCACTGCATAACAGAGGCTGGAGCACTCCATTTGGAGATCAGAAAACTTTTGGTCAACCATTCCAAGGTGAGAAAGGGACATTTTAGATTTGGAACATTTCATCCTCAAAGCTCCTTGAATGCATCTTGCATAGATTGAAAAGACACCCCCCCCCCATATAACAGGCAGCTATCAGTAAATATATCTGCACCATCAGGTTTCCATTAGAGGGAGCAACAGAGAGAATTGACTGCAGGGATTCTCTCTGTGTGATGACCAACTCAAATGTTTAGGATTGATACAGAAAAAATAACCTTCATACTGGTTACTGTATTCATCTGCTGTTGTTCCCAGTTTCTTACAAGTTAGAGATGAACCAAGGATTTTAAAAATTAATTTTAAACTACGTAACTATAGACAATATTTTCAAGATTCTAAATGAAGCTAGAGTTAAACTAAAACTGAATTTAAACCTGCTCAGCTTCTGAGGATGATAACAACTTACTGATATCTTCAATCACCACAGTGTTGTCCATAGACACGTAAACAGCTAAGGAATTCCATTCATCAAACAGTGCAAGTTTCCTGAATAAAGCAAGACAGCTGTCAACCAAAAAGTGTGCTCAGTATTACTAAAAGGCTCTTAAACAAAGAAGCTTTGCGGATGGGTGATGGGAGTTTAATTTTATTCTACTAGTGAGATTCTTAGTATTAGGAGGAGCACGGAGACTTCCTGATGAGGAACGTTGGCCAGTTGTCCAACCACATTCACAGATTAGGTCAGGGGACAATTTTAACTTCCTTCTGTTATTTTTACTCCTTCTGCCTTTTTGCTTACTATTCCCCCCTCCAAAAGGCATGGGGGCGAGGAGATGGAACTGCTATATAGTGTAAGGACTGACAACGCTAGGAAAGTCAGCATCAACCATCTGCTACACTTTGAGAAATCTAGAAGAAAAAGTTGGCTAGTGCAGCTGTAACTTGGACCACTGCTATACAAATTACTATCTTCAGCCTAGCATTCAAATTTACTCTACTTATTACTCAGTACTTCTATTATTCAATCCTTACTACTCCTCCTGCTTAGTTTCTCAACTGTGATCACATCTCAAATACCCTTCCAATGCTACTGATGCAGAACAGTGATGCTGTTGTTCCACTACTGCAAGCTTAAAACTTCAAAATATAAAGACAGAACATAAATATTTTGCACCTCTGATAAACCAAGCGGTAAAGCTTGAAATAAGCACTCACAGTTGCCTTCCCCAAGATGGCATTTTCCAGAGGTGCCCAGATGTGGTGGCTAGGAATTCAGGGAGCCGTTTTCCCAATACATTTACAGGGTACCAGCTTGCAGAAAGCACAATTCACATTTGAATGTGCCAAAAAACGTTTTGGTGGTTTGGCTGCAAATGATTATGAATCTTCAGGGAGAACCTTTAGGGTGGTAAAGTGGGCTGATGAATGAAGAATCAAATATAAGCACAAGGAATTAAGCTCTTCTTGTATCCCTTCAGCTGTTGGACCAAGGTCTTTTTCCGTACAAGTCCCCTTCCCCTAATTACACACACATAATGCAGAATACGCATGCTTCCTTACTTGAGTACTTGGGCAACAGTATTTGGTCCAAACCATTCCCCAATAGATTTCCCTTCACCAACACCCATCTGTGCTGTGTGGATCAGGAACAGAAACAGAAAAAAAAATAAAGAATGTCAGGAAATGACATTTGCCTGTTAAACGGAAAATTATTTGAATGTTGTATTGTATACCTCTCAAAACAGTTCAGTGTCAAAGCCATCTGGGAACATTGACCCATGTCAGAGTATTTTAGCTAAACTACAGGTGGGTAGAAGGGAGAGAAGGTTCAACTGCAGATCTCTCAGTATTCAGCTCCAATCATTCCTAGCACAGCTATCCTGGCTGGGGGATTCTGGGAGTTGAAATCTACCCCTTGAGAGATTAAGCAGAACACATTATGAACACATTTCAGCTTGTACAACTGAAGGATGTTAACAAACTGCCCACACATAGACACAGAAACCCTGCTGGCACTTACAAGGGAGATGCCTTCCTTAAGTTTCAGTTGGTCTCCTGCAGTATGCTCTAACGGGGGCTGCCTTTGAAATGTGTAGGCTACTAAACCCAGACTATTCAGCAAGTTGCTGAAATGGAAAGCATGGGATTTTCTTTTTACAACTTCAGGGCAATCCATGCGTTTCAGAAGACAACTAAAATTGCTGATGACCAGCTCTAAAACTAGAAGACATGTATGACCGTAGTGTTTCAGAGACTGAATCCTCCTTTTTGAAACCTTGCCCAGATTTTAAGAACCAAACAAAGAGGACTGCTGGACTGCCACATTGATGCTAGAGGAGTATTTGGCAGGAGTATTAGAGAGGACTTTTTCCAAAAATTGGAACTTCCTGGCAAGCAAAATCAGCAGACAAAGATGCCGTTATTCAGATGAACGTTTGATTTTTATGAAGTGTGTTGAAGTCCATTTTAACTGGCAGATGGTGATCTAGTTTCAAGGGATGTGTTTTCAACTCATCTGCTTTCTGCTTTAATTACAATTTTGTATTTTCTCTTATATTTTAACCCAGCAATTGGTCCAAAGCAACCCAAGAGTAATACAGGAACCAAACCACTGTGACTGTAAACCACGCTTTAACATATTGTGCAAACACACGTGTGCCTTCAAGTCAGTTTTTGACTCCTGGTGACTGCCTAGACATGTCCCTGCAGTTTTCCTGGCAAGGTTTTTTGGAAATGGCTTGCCATTGCCTCCTTCCTAGGGCTGAGAGAGGGGGACTGGCCCAAGGTCACCCAGCTGGCTTTGTGCCTAAGGTGAGACTAGAACTCACGGTCTCCCGGCTTCTAGCCCAGTGCCTTAACCATTAGACCAAACTGGCTCAGTGTAAACCCAGCTACTATACTGAAAATTACTACAACTGGGCAGCACTTCAGATTTAATTCCCAAAAAGATGCTTCAGAATACGTGGGATCATAAATGTGGCCCTGCTGGGCAACTTTTTAATACAGCCATATCTTTTCATAGGATTGTGCAAGGCCAGTCATTCAATCCAGGGAGATAATGCCCCTGCTTCAAAGGGTTGTAGATAGTGCCCCTGTGCACCTCAAAGCCCCTTTTTGGAAATCAGTCTCAAAACATTACACATCCATAAAAATTAGTCACAACTACACTTTGCCTAGTGTGACTGTGAGGGTCTTCCTAGTATGACATCAGTATGTGCTTCTCTTTTGCCCTGACTCTTCTCCGTTTTTCTATTTTGTATTTCTGCCAACACGTTTATTTTGTAAAGCAGATGGAACTCCCTCCAAATGACACATTAGTTAGGACTACACCGAGCTCTCAACACCTGCTCTTACCCATTTGATGAATTGAGTAACAGCAATCTTTTCTGTCCAGGAAGCAGCACAAAATCTTCTGATATTCTTCCGGTTGCTTTTTGTATTCCTCCCACTGCCAATCTTCAAGAGAAAATGATCGGAGATTTTAAATGTGACATCACACTCCCACCAAGGGCAAAACAAAGTAAG